GGGCTGGCCGCGCGGCCGCCGCGCCGGGGGGGAAGGGGACACGGCGGCGACGGCACCTACCTGTCAGCACCTCCTCCTCCGCCGGCGGCGACAGCAGAGCCGACAGCCCCTGGCACCATCTTCCGCCGCCGCCTCCTCGTCGGCGGCGGCTACCAACCGCCCATCCGGCACCGCCAACCGACACAACCGCCGGCGTCCCGGTGCCTGCGCGGCCCCGAACTCCGGGAGGGAGGGAGCGGTCGGGGCGGAGACGGGACGCGGTCAGGCCCCTCGGCTCTGGGTAAAGGGCCGGGAGACAGCGGGCCGCGGCCTGTCAGAGCCGAGGGGCCGGGCGACAGGAGGACCCCGAGGCAGCGCCGAAGGCTCGGCAGGGCCGCGGACACAGCCGCGACTGGGTTTGTTATTGTCGACTCTGTCCCTTCCTCCGCGGGGCAAGCCGGGAAACGGCGGGCGGGGGAGGGGCGCGCCGGGCGGCCCGGCTGCGCAGAGAGGCTTCGCGCAGGTCCGGAAGTCGGCTGGCTGCCGGGAAAGGGGCGGCTCCGCTTCCTGTGGCTGCCGGCCGGCCGGCGACTTGGGTGTCCTCTCTTGACCCCGGGAGACTGCGGGCGCGGCCTGTTGGGTGCCAGCTGCCGTCCAGGCGTGGGCAGCCGTAAGGTGAGCTTAACCTTCCTTGCTACGGCGAGTTGGCCTGAGCTAGGCAGACCCCGCCGAATTTTGGGTTAGCTGCCGGTGAAAGAGCTGGTCTCCTCTCCCTGTCCCGCAGGAGCGGGGCCGGCCGAGGGTCCAGGGCCTTCGTCGCCGCCCCCGGAGCAGCCCGCAGACCGGACTAAGATCTGTGAGAGGATGGCGTACGGGAAGGGCCGTGCCCCTCCCCCACCGTACCCCGACCGCGGGGGCGCACGCCGCCGGCGAGGGTCTCTGGTAACTGCAGGTGTGGCGCTGCACGGGTTTTCTCAGACCAGGGAAGGCGAAGAAAACATCCAAGAGACGGGAGAGCCAAGGCTAGGTCGATTGAAATGAAAATGTGAGCGCCACGACCGCCAGTTTTCAGCTTTATAAGTAGGTACTGAGTTCTCTAATGGGTTAGCACGAGTACTCTATTGGGTGGGGAACAATTTCAGGGGAATCCTGATTTTGTGAAGATGATCTGTCACAGGCAATGACTTGTAGCCACAAGCCCTGAGTATTAAAATCTGATGAGCAGAAGTTATACATAGAATAATTATATAATACTTTTAGAATTCTTGTTATATGCAGGAATATCTGGTATGAGTAAAAGCTCAGGGCTTTAGAGTTTTATTTGCATAAAAATGAGTATTTGTCACCCTTTTCAATGGCACTAAAACAACAAATACTATTAGGAAGCAAAGTTTGCAATCCTTCATTTGTCAAGGTGGAAACTGGTTTAAAAAAAAAAAAAAAGAAATCATTGAGCGACTGGTAAGCATTAGGGATTTTCAGTTTGCATCACACAGATCCAGTATCTGAAAGTTACCTTTGAGAAGGACTTATGTTTTTCCACTTTGTTTTTAATTTTACACTCCTGCATATCCCAGAGAGATCTTGTCTTTGGCAAGTCATTTTACTTTAGTTTTTTTCAAGCTGGAGTTTTATTACACTACCCCAGCAAGATACAGCAGAGGAGTGAAAATTAAAGAGACTAAGTTGTTGTTATGCCTTGGGGGAAGTTGTGAACTGGCAAGACTGAAGAAAGGAGCTGATTTTATTAGACATAGCATAGTAATCAGTACACAGAAAATAAGTAGTGAGAAGGGATTTGGCCAGAAAATTGGTACACTAAACACAACGTTAGGCCTGTGAAGAATATATTGGTGCTTGAACTTCCTGTTAGTTATCAATGACATTCATCATTACAAATATGATACAACTTAGAATGTAAAAACATCACTGGAATATGACAGATAAGCTATTAAGTAATAAAACGTTTTAAACGTTACTTGTCTCGCAGACTTTTTTCTTTGGGGAAAAAATTAATTCAGTCCTGATCTTCTGTCTTAGTCATAGGCTGGAAGGAATGATTAGAAGTGATTGGTTCATAGCTTAAAGGTTTACACCTTCTCCAGAGTGTAAATGTTAGGGGTTTATATGCATCTAGTGTTCTTTCCTAGTGATAAGTGAAAATATATTAACGTTAGTTCTGTTATATATATGCGGGTATTTATGGGATATACCATTACAAGTTACTAATACTACATGTATCTATAATGAGTTTTAACAAGTTACATTTTCCTTCAAACCAAAGATATTGAAAAGCCTCTGTATGCTCCCTTCTTTAATAAATAAAAACAAGAACAAACAAAAAAGCCTCATGCAGCATTACTTCTCAGCCAAGTTTCTTGATAGGAAGTCCTCAATCCACAGTCTCATTGTCATCTACTGTGCTTTTCTCACTGAAATTACGAACAGATTAATAGGGACTTCCAAATTATTGTGTTAAATGGACAATGCTGAGACTTTATTTGAACTTTCTAAAGCATTTGCCATTTTATATTATTTGTCCTTTTTATCTCCTCTTTCCCTTTTGTAGTGTCTCCCTCTTGGCTCTTAAATCTGTCCTTTATTTCATTTGGTCCTCTTCCAAATTCTCAAGTAATTATAATACAATGTAAATGATGCAAATCTAAATTGCTGTGGAATAAGAGATGAAAGAGATTTAATCTTGTCCTTATCACATTATTATTTTTTTTCATTTAGTAAACCCTTAGGTCCTTTGATTTACAGTCAGCGCAAAAGAAGTTGTTCGGTTTAGGAGGAGTATGTAGGGATTATATAAGTACTTAAAATGAATTCCAATCTTTAAAATCCTGTTTTTCCTTCCAGTGTCAACTTCAGTGTTTTTTCAGGGAGTTCTTCCATAACACGCCTGTAGTTCACCTAGATTCTTATGTTGTATCTTTCAGTATCTGTCTAACCTGCTGAAATATGTCTCTTTTAAATAGCAGAACTGTTTCCCCAATACCTGGTGTACAGTGGTGTGCACTCAGACATTTGTTGACAGTGCCCTACACCTTTTTCAGGCCCTTAATATATATATGTCCACTCACCTCCCAACTACAACTAGTCTGCGTTATATATTCCATCCAAAGCCAATTTGATCATGTCTCTTCCCTGCCTAACAACCTTCACTGGTTTTGTTTAAACTTCTTAACATGGCATAAGAAGCCTTCGTTAGGTACCAACACATCTCTCCAGCCATATCTCCTGGCACTTTTCCTCTTCACACATGCCTTATGTGAGTTTCCTCATCCAGGAATGTTCTTCACCCCTTGTTTACCTTTGAAAGCCATCCTTTAAAACAGAGCTTGGACATCAGCCAGCTTCCAACTTCTAGACGATATAGTGATCACTCACCCTTCTACTACCTCTGCTCCATATCACACAACTATCAATTTTTGTCTCCCCTCTAAGTCTATGAAACCCTTAAGATTAGGAACTATGAATTATTTATAAGTTCTCAGAACTTGATAGAGAGCTTGGCACATAGTTAGCAATTAAGAAAATATTTGTTGGATGTAATAAATTCTGCAAATATTTATATTGAAGGTTGACTAGGTAAGTTACTGTGGAGAATTCCTGCCCTCAAATATCCCAAAAACTTGTACAAGGGACCATTCAAAAATCTCTGTAGTGACAAATTTGTATGACATTAATCGTTTACCCAGAATGTTACCAAATTGACCTCACTCCAGTGGGACTCCAACCCACATTTGGAGAGGCTCTGAGGAGGGACCCATGGGTGGGCCTTGTACCCACAATCCGTCCCCTACCCAGAGGGTTATTTTCTGTTCGGAGTCACGGATTTGAAACAACCGAAGCTGAGCGGTCAACAGGACAAGCTTTTATTCAATGGCCAAAGTATGGAGAAGTGGGAACTAAGTTCACAAATCAACTTCTCAGCTCATGGGGCACGTAAGAAGCTGTTATAAGGGGTCCAGGTAATCAAGGGAAGGAAAATTCACAGTTTTCAGAGAAATGGGCAGGCTTTTCCGGGGATCAAGGGTGCCACCTCTTCTCTTTCCTTATTTGGTCATATCCTGCCATTGCCATGGCAACTGTAAACTGTCATGGCTCTGGTGAGTGTGTTATGTGGCATGGTAATGCATTACAATGAGCGTATAATGAGCTGCAGGGTGTATGTCAGGTGAAGTCAGACTGCCATGTTGCCTTCAGCCGGTGTTAATTGGTTTGGACTAAGTGTCTCAGCCATCTCCTTCCTCTCGTTGTGGTTTCCTGTAAGCTAAAGAGAACGTGTCAGGCAGGGCTGACGGTTCTGAGCAGGGCTGCGGTTACTGGCCTATGGGGTCTGTGGGCCAGCTAACAAGAATACATCAGGATGTTGGGAAGATCATGGTACACAGCTTAACTTTGTTAACTCTGCCTTATTTAAGGTTTCATTCCACATATATATTAGATATTTCTCAAACATCTTAGTATCATTATCCTAGTTTTCTTTTAGGTTATGTTCAAACAGCCAGTAATCATGATAACATAATTTGACTTTATTTATATTTTTATTTTTTACTTTATTTCCATTTTTAAAAGTTAACCCCTTTTTAAAAGTTTTGGACTTCATTTTTAAGATCTTAGCTAATATGGTGTGTAAAATATGGTCATGCACTACTTAGAGGCTTCTGGCAGTTTGATTATTAAGTTAATGTTTTCAGTAGTATTTACAGACCTTAAAGCTGCCCTACTCAGTTGGTCTGTTGGTACTCACACATATTATTAATGATAATGATGGTAGTTAACTTCAGAGTGACCATCTTCAAAGCTAGTGATGAGCTAGTGAGCCATACTGTTTCTAATGCTGCAACACATACAACAGAATACTTCTAGCATGCTTAGTTTTCCAAAGATTTAAACCAATAGATTGAGACAAAACATTTTTAGTCATTTTTGCATTTAGTTCTCGTCTTTCGTTATTTTGAAAAGGCTTCTTAGCAAAATGTCTAAAAATAGAGCTAGAATGTCTTAAAGCAGAAACTTATCAGTCCTACGGATACAGATGTGGATTGAACTTAAACATCAAGTGGTAGTTGGACTTCAGGTGGTGACTTTCAAACTTCTGTGACTGCGACCCACGATAAGAAATACATTTTAACGTTGTGAACTCGTACACACGTACAGGCCTCTGTAGCAATGAAACCATGTGTTGTGAAAAAATACTGCTTGTGATGCACTCTGATATTTACTATTCTATTCTGTTTTTTCCAATACTAGTTTGGACCCACTAGATAGATTTTACCACCCAATAATGACTTGAAAGACATTAGATTCAGTGATTTAGGCCCCAAACCCTGAGTTTCTTTGCTCCTGGTTTTTCCATCGGTGGCTTCCTATTTTGACTATATCCCTCAATAGTGAAGTTTGTGATTATGTTTATTTAAAAAAGGCATAATCTAACTGAAACCGCAAAACACTTGTGAGTGTGTCTTAGATGACAAACGTGGGCTTCACATTCATAAGCCTATCTAGTTGTCTTAATAGCCCTATCAGGTTTATATTAATTTTCTCCATTTTTATAGATGGGGAAATGAGAGGTTAAGTCACTAATTCCTTCTAGTTAATGTTCTTCAGCTAGTAACTGTTAGGGAAAAGATTTGAACCCAGATAATCCAATTCTACAGGCTGTGTCCTTAAACACTACACTATGCTGCTCCTTAATTTAGTGGACTCCTGAAGCAGGGAGGGGAGAAAACTGTAAAGTCTACCGGTAGGCTACACAGTTTCTTCATCTCAGCATTATTAGCATTTTGGGCCAGATAATTCTTTGTCGTAAGCTGTCCTCTGCATTTCAACAACATCCCTCGTCTTTACACACTAAATACCAGTGGCACCCCCAGTTATGACAACCAAAAATGTCTCTGGACATTTTGTAATGTTCCCAGAGAGACAAAATCACCCCCCTTCCCAGAACCACAGGCTAAAGTATGGTACATCTATATAAAGAAATACTATGCAGACACTAAAATTATATTCTAGGAAAATATTTAATGACAAAGGAAAATATTCTAAATTATAGTACCAAACTGTACTATTTTTAAGATACATTATTTTTTTCACATTTTAACATCTCTGAAATCTGGATGCATTTAACAGTGGATAGAGTCCTATAGCACGACCAATAGCCATTCATTGCCTGTGCATGCAAGACTTGAAAAACACCAGCTTGGAAAAATATCCTAAAAAAATGGTGGAGCATTCTTTTAAACCCAAGGTACCAAAAGTTTGAGAGAGATGAGGAATCAGACATGTTGGGCAACATAACCAAAGATAATCCAAAGCATGCTATCTCTAAAGAATCGTAAAGCTAACTTAGGAGACTGGCCCCAGGACTTCTGTTCTGTTATGGATTCTCAGGAAATACTTACTGCTCGTGCTTTCAGTGGTGAAAGGATAAATTGTTTGGAAAAACCCAGACAACTTCTGAGTCAAAATGTAATTAGAGGAGTTGGATTTTGAAAGATGAAATTTTAGAAATAGCTTTACCAATGTATTTTTCTTATATATTTTTATGTATGCACAAAAGCAATGATAAAAATGTGTCTAAGAGGGGCTGGCCCCGAGGCGTAGCAGTTAAGTGCGCGCGCCCCGCTGCTGGCGGCCTGGGTCCGGATCCCGGGCGCACACAGATGCACAGCTTAGTCAGGCCATGCTGTGGCGGCGTCCCATGTAAAGTGGAGGAAGATGGGCACGGATGTTAGCTCAGGGCCAGTCTTCCTCAGCCAAAAAAAAACAAAAAAGGAGGATTGGCATGGATGTTAGCTCAGGGCTGATCTTCCTCACACACAAAAAAATTGTCTAATGAAGTCTAACAAAGCTTTTTAAATAAGTATAAAGTAAAAATTATAGGTGGTTTTTCCTTTATGTACATTTTTCTGCACTTGCCAAACTGCATGTCTTTTAAAATGTATCATTAGTTTTTTGCAACTGAAAATGGTTTCTGTATTGCTTCACATAAAATCCAACATTTTTTTCCAATTTGCTAAAGTCCATTTATTTTAAAAACATCATTTGTTTTTTGCTGTTACTTTCTCAGCCTGGTGTCCAGTCCTGCCTCAGCCTTCTGTGTTACATATCCCTAGTAGTCAATTCTTTCTGCTCTCCATCAAACTGTCTGCACTATTCTTAAATCCCTACTCCACCCCTTTCCAGTTCTCTCATTCTTGGTAAATAATCTCACTTCCTACATAACTGAGGAAACAGAAGCTATGAGAAAGAACTTCTTCACCCTTCTGCCATAAATTCTGCAAACCTATCTGCACTTATTTCTAGTCTCACTTTCAGTCACTGTCCTGTCCCTGCTGTTGATGGTAGTTGTGGCCTTTTGACTCTGTGCCATAATCTCATTCAGTCATTTTGTGGGACCACTTGGTATGTGCAAAATTTAGTTCATATGTGAAATATTTTACAGAACTTAAATAATATCTTTAAAATTGGAATTTATCCTTAATTGCTTATTGGTTAATTTAAAATTGAAAATAAATTAAGAAATAAAACATTACATCAGCAGTATGATTTAGGAGTTACCTAAGATATCTTGATATTTCAGTCTTATTAAAATTCACTTATTACCTGCTAGACAATTATTTACATAAAATGTATTGATTTGTTAACAAGATTAAAGATAGATATAAAAGGCAGATAAAACTATTGAAAATTTTTTTTCCTTTTTGTTTCTGTAATATTTTTTAACTTAATTTTTGACTACCTTGATTATATGAAATTTCAACAAAAATCTTCACTGTCTCTTTTTCTTTTCTGGCCATTATTGTTACTGTTTCTCTATTGTTACTAAAACTGATTTTGTTGTATAGAAGAACAGAGTGTTAAAAAGTTATCCACTCTGAGTGTCAAATACACTAGATATATACCAATGACAGGGCCTGAGACTCTTCACTTTTTAAACAAGCTTTAGGGGGAATTCTAATGCAGAAAATGGCCTTGAGAAACAAAGGACTAAATCTCTAAACATCAATCTGCAAGGAGACAGGGGACGTGCTCTTAGATGTGTCTCCCCGATTCAGGATTTGTGGTGAAAAGAGGTTAGGGAGAACAGGTTGGCATACAGAAATGCTGGTGGGACAGGTTTTGATTGTTGAGCTTTAAGCATTTATGGTAAGGTTCTAAACATTTATGGTAAGGTTTTAAACATTTATGGTATGATGGGGAAGGAAATTTAACACCAGATCTTCCTGGATGACGGACCCCTCGCTTCGGATAAGAGTCCAACTTTTAAGTTTCAGTCATGTCC